ATATAGTGGGTTTGCTCATCTTCAGAATATTTCTGGTAGAATCCAATGTCTTTAGATAATTGTAGAAATACTAGACCAGTTCAGAATCTAAGTTGATTAAATAAAGTAATAATGAACAATAGCCCAAATAAGCATTGACTAAGGCTAGAACTTTACAAAGTAAAACAGCAAGCCATTCTTACAGTAATACATAAGAGCATCTCAGGCAACAGTAAGAAAAGGATTACCAATTTTCATTGATTTGTTAAGGTACACCCTGACTGAACTGTAGTTTATCTTTCATTGCATGGTACTTATTCTGGGTTTCACTTTTACTGTTGAGTACGTTGGTAAATAGAATGAGTATCTGCCTTATGCAGTAGAACCAGTGATTTGTCTCACATACCTCATTGTTTGGTTCAACCTCTTTCTACTTAAGGTGTTTTCCAGACAGACTGCACAATTTCATAATTTTTTTTTCTTTTTGTGATTTTTCAGTTACTTATTCTTCACATGATACACTGATCAAAACCACTTTTTTTTTAGCATGTGGCATTTTTATGTGATAGAGATTTGTAAGTTATGATTCATGGATTTTTTTTCTTCTTCTAAGATCATCAATGTGCAAGCACTCATATAAAGAAAAATGGTCATGCAAATGGAAAAAAAAAATCTGCATTTTCATTCATGCTACTTTGAAACTACTTTCCTGTGTGAACTTCTCATTGTGAAGGCCAGATGAAAGGACATGTTTTTCCTTTTCGTTCACTCATATAAATATGTGTGGATAGCTTATAGAATTGAAAAAAATATTGAGTTGTCTGCATCACAGTTTACTCATGTGGTTACAAATTGCATCCTTTTATTTGATTGTGTGTTGTCGCTTTATTCCTGTAACATGCAGTGTTGTCCAACACAGAACAGGCTCATGGAGAGGCTTCTTTTTTCCCCTTTTAGCACTTAGGGCATTGGTGATGCAAGGCAAAGCTGGGACACTGCACTTCTCTGCTTTGAGGAAGCCCTTCTATACTCACCTTGTATTATGTTAATAGACTATTATTAATGACCTATGTTGTTTGCTCCTCTTTTCTTTTCATCTCAGATCCTGAATTAATATCACAATCTGTGCTCCTTTCTGTCTCTCCACAAGTATTTTTTTTCTCTAATACTGTATGGAGGGCAGTAGTCAGTACTTGATTTAATGAACATGGATGAATAACACTGAAATTAAAAATCATGTAGTAGTTTTATTTGTAAGTTTGGCATTTATCTTAAAACTATTTCTTACAATTTTTAAGTTCAAATGAGAATGAAACATCAGATCTGAGAGTCCAGTGGATTTTTCTGTTTGGAATACTGACTCACTACAGCACTAGCTCCTCCATTTTTTTCTTGTCTAAATGCAAATTCTAGTACAAACAAATAATTCTTATAGAAAAGGAAAATCTCTGGGTTTTTTAAGTAGAGATTTTAATAATCTGGGGTGAGACATATGGAATATTGGGCTAGATTTTCAAATGTAGTCTCTTATTGTTTAAGATAACTATCAATAGGGATTTTTAAAGCTGCCTAAATTTCTATTTGTACTGAAATGAATGCATTTTTGAGTGACAGTCTTTGAAACTTCATCTCCAAATAGCTGCATTTGAGGTTCTTTATTTATCCTGTGGTACTGCCTATCATTGTTTCAACTTTTCAACATCCAGCTAAGGACATAATCGTACTGTTGTATCGGTGAATATTATCTAGGGAGGCCAGTTTATCTCATTTTCCTTATTTAGGCTTTTTTGCAGGGAACTGTAAATTGTTTTATGGGGCTATCTAGAGCCCATGGAGAATGCAGGTTAGAGTTTGCCTCAATGTTCCCATCCTGCTGAGAGGGGAAATTCTTGTCATACTGTTACTTAGTGATCCAAAGATGTACTAAAGGGCAGAGGGGAAGACATTTGATCCCCTGACAACATGGTTGGGGATAAACATTGCCTCTGTGAATTGCTTCATCTCCACAAAGGCAGACTAGAAGTGCTGGTTTGAGAAGTTCAAAGCTCCACATGCTAATGACCAGCTGCAGAGTGAGCACAGAGGGGTTTAGAAATGGTCGTTCTTCCAACTCTCCAGGGCAGGAGAAAGCTCTGGAAAAGGAAAGCAGTATTTTTACTTTCCTCCACATCTAAGCCTTTGGACCCACTGAGCAGGGTAGGTTCACAGCATAGATGGGTCAGCAGGCTTCAGAAAATAGCCTGTTGCCCACTCCTCTGCAAGTATCCAAGTCCTGGCTGGCCTGCTGTCAGGAACTGCTGTGCTGCATAAACCTCTCCCTCCCACCACACTGCAGTGGGCAGCGCTTACACATGAGATGTCTGGGGAGGTTGGCACTTGTGGGCAGGGGAGAGCGGTGTTTTCCCTGTGCTTAAATGCAAGTATATAACCAACTTTCCTGGAACTCAGGCTGTCCTGAACTGAATTTGTCCAGAAAGCAAACTAAATATTTGGTATCTAGAGAGATAACACAGGAGAAAACATGAGTGAGTGTATCAGCCTTAGCTGAGGTCTACTATTTACTAAATAGCTAATAGCTAAGAATAAGATGGTTTTGTCATGAAGATGGTGTGTTGGGATCAGATTTGGATTTAGTATTACATTTAAATGTAATGGTAATGCTCAGAAATGTATCCTTTAGAAATAGGACATTCTGTGCCAATCCCTTTCATGAACCCAGCTGCAGTATCTTCAAGTTTATGGTTTAAATCTTATTTTGCAGCCTCCATCACTTGTGTCTGTTTACCAGAGACAGCAGTGTAGGTATATGCTCAAAATGGCTACCGGACTGAAATCCTGTTCTCTGCCTTACAGAGTAAAGCACTGGAAATATTTCCTTCTCTGTCCTTTGGAGCTCCCTCACTGTACTTATGATCAGATATTGTTATTCTCTTGCTGAAAGTTACAGGACAAAAGTAATTCAAAAAACTTCAGGCTTTTACTTGTTAGATCAAAGAATGGTTAGCAAGACAGTGAAGATAAGTCTTTAACTTTGGAATTAACAGTGTCAGAAAGTTTCATCCTTTGCTGATTAATCATTGCTTTGGACCAAGTAAATGATCCTTCTTCTGAGTGAATGAATGTGACCAGATTTAAAATGATTTAGAGAACAGTCTGGCCATTTAATAAAGTACTGAATTTAATTATAACATGGATTATTATTTTCAAAACAGAAGAACACAGCCTAGTTTTAAAGAGAGGCTGAGCTACAAATATAGCATAGATGCTGGGTTGGCAAATCACACCTATTTAAAGACTGTGGAGTGGGGACTCTGGTTCCCTGCTTAGTCTGAGGCTGCCATGCCTGTGGAAATAGGACCCAATGTACTGTCTTTTATGTGCCATTTTTCCTGGCATCCTGTGCACTCACTCCTTTGATTGTCTTACTCATTTCCAGTGCTCCTTTACACTCAGCAAAGGGACTGCAGTCCTGTGATTAGTAAATGATAGACAGGAATGAGATGTTGGGCAGTGACAAGCTGTTTCTCTGGGCTTTTAATCACTCCTCTACTAATTTAATGTATATTCTCTACAAAACTTGAACTCTTCCTCTGCATAATGAGAAAAGGAGCATGTGTTTATTGAGTGCCTCAGGTGCTCATTGTGTTGTGAATGTAATGCTATTCATAACAGATTGCTGTGCTGGGGAGGGTGGCTGTGGGTTTGTGAGCTACAGTCTACACAGACATGACTAAATCCGTCTCATCTTTCTCTTCTGAGAATCTCCTTGGTGCTTCAGTTGCTATTCATGCACATGAAGGATTTGGTGAAGAGGAGAGTTGCTTCACAGACCAGAAGCCTAGGGAGGATTTTCCCCTTCAAAGAGAGATTGGTGGCAGTCCACACGTCATTGGGAATCATTGAGTCTTTTGGGGGGGTTATGAAGTTTGTCAGGATATTTTTAAAGTAATTTTAGGGGCAACCAGTTCTTTCCAGTAAGGGTCCTCGGGGGATTTTTTTTTTTTTATCCTTTTAAAGAAAGCACTTTAGTTTTGGGGAAAAGAAAGGGTGGGAGGTCCAAATGCCAGGGAGATAAAACGCAGTCACCACATGAAGCCAGTGGGGCTTAGCCCTTAACAGTGACCAGCAGCCAACCCGAAAATGTCTTAGTGCCCACCTACAGTTTGGGATGTGAAGTTTGAAGATGCCTCTATGTATTTCACAAAAGCAGTTGTGATACTTATTTAAATTCAAGGCTTGGCCTGGCCAAAAGAAAGAGTTATGGTGTGTGTTACTTTCACGGATGCAAATATTGACCTCAAAGTGTGTCATGCTTTTAGGAAAACAATAAAGCCTCTTTTTACTTTGAAAACAACTAGCATTGCATGAATTATGTGACATTCACAGTTTATGCCTTGCATGTTATGTAGAGACTTATAAGGAATTAATTTGTGTATGTTACAAAGTAGGAAGCGTTTTTAAATTCAGCTTGGACATAGTTTTACTCTAAAATGTATGGCCAATCTACTCATCCTGCTGTGTTACACAATTGTGCAAGATGTGTTTTGAAAGTAACCTGCAGATGATTCCTTGTTTACAGAGTTAGGATGTAGCTCTAAGCAGAGACGCTACAAAGTCTAAATAAAATTTTTCTGTCTTCATGCTGCCACTGTTGATGATCAGCCTGGCAGAGCTTTACTATGAGGAAAAGTGCTTCCTACAATAGCTCAGCAACTCATTAATATTCTGATGTCACTTTTAACCTGAAATTTAGGAGTTTATATGTTATTGGGAGGAGGAAAAAAAGTAAGGAAATATATTCCAACTAACTTAACACTTTCAGGTTTTTACTGTAGCTTTGCAAATTCTGGTTTATTTGACTTTCCTCACTGCATGAATCGTCTGAAATACCAAACTCTGCTATGTCTGCTTTCTCTTTTATGCCTTCACAGAGTTCTCAATTCTTTCTCTCTTGTGTCTCTTTCTCTTTGTTTCTCTCTTCTCTCTGTTTTTCTCTTTTGGACCCTGAATCTCTGAAGCAGTGCAGGAGGCCGAACAGGAAGATGTAAAGGTGGTAGTGGATGCCCAAGCTCCGAAACCAACTAAAAAAACCAAGGGAGCAGCTGCAAGCTCTCAGACTAGCAGCACCAGAAAGGAGAAAAAAGGGAAACACAAAGGTTAGCTGCATGCAGCTGAATGTCAGATGTTAAATTAATTCTTTTGCAGTCAATTCTCTCTCTTTTTTTTCTTTTCATTTCTTTGAAAATCTGAAAATTGTCTAAAAGTAAGTTCATGAAATTTTTATGAGATGGGAAAATGTGTGTGACTTGGTGTTTTCTGGGCATGTACAACCTGGGAGTGAAGGACTAAAATTTGTAAATGCAGTCTTTTCCAAAGGACAGTATTTCTTCAAATTGCAGAGGAGGAAGAAAGTACTGATGGAAGGATGCTGGTGTTTTCCTTGTTAAAGGAATTGTTAAAGAAATGAGAACCATCTTACAACAGTGTGGTTTTTTAGATTATCTGCAAGTAATGTAATTCAGAGGAACAACCTTAATTTGCAGCCACTTCTGTCCATACTCTTGCAAATTAGAGTTTAAGTGGACATTTTGAAAATCAATTCAGCAAAATTGAGATAACAGCCTCAAGGAGGTTTTTTTAAGTTGTTACTTGAGTGTTACTCTATCCCTCCTGAGGTGTTTTTATGAAAATTTTTCTGCAATGATTTTGTGTACGATTAGGTAAAATAAAAAATACACTATTGGTAGTGACAAAAGGCTACTGGTATTCAAATTTTATGTATATATATGAACACTCACAAAGAGAGAGAGGTTGTTATGCCACATACAGTTACTTTTTATTTGATGGTGACTGACTAATGAAATGAAATAACTTTTCAATAATTTGCAGTTCTTGAATAAAGCCACTGTAACAGTATCCTGCCCTGTATTCCGGTGTTGTGCATGTCCAACAGTGTCTCCATTGTTGCTTAGTGTATATCCTTGACAAGTCTGTTTAAAGATAGCAGTGACTAATAAGGTTAATTATTGAGGTCAGAGTATTGGGGCTTATCTATAGGGATTTTGCAGGACTTGAGCCTACCTTAGTGAAATCCTTTACGTATTGCAGCTTAATTCTTGAGATCTGAATCTACAGTATCTCTCTGTCTGTAGTCCCCCTGGCTGCAAGGAAAGCCCTAGGTTAGACAGGCTTTAGAGTCCGGCCCTGAGCTAAAGACTTTATTCATATGTTTGAAAAAAGATGGTGTGTGCCAGTACCTAGGCTTAAAATAATAAGGAAAAGTCAAAGGTAGAATTAGCTGAATGTAAAAACTGTTGGCAAAATAAATGAACAGAGAGCTAATGTTTCCCAATTTAATGTAAAAGGTAATGACATTCCAGCATAGTAATACAGATGCCAAATTTTATTTTGAAGTACATTTTGCTCAAGAGTAAAAATTCTTTTACTATTTTAACAGAAAACCTGTTTTCGGCTGTAAAGGAGCATTATGCAAGCTAATACTTAAATCATGGTTATGGCATAACCTTGAGGCTCTGTTTCATCTTATATAATGTCTGTTTTGCCCTTATGGAGTGTCTGTGTCTGTGCTATGTTCATGACTGAAGTTACTGTGCTGGTAGTTACAGCAGGTTTGATGTGACAAATTTGCCTTGTATAGGACCACTGTCTGTATACAGTCATATGTGTTCTGGGCAGTTTTCTTATGAACTCTTGGCTAAAATATTCCCAGGCCTAGTGAGGCACATAGCAAGGAACACTCACTGGAGCGTGTGACTCTCAGGGTTGTTCTGCAGAGCCCAGTGATGTGTGTCTGGGGTTGTATTTGTTGGGCAGCTCCGCCAGATATGGGTGAGTTAGCCCACGAGCAGAGGGTGTTTACTGTGAAGGAGCTGCACAGTTTTCCATTATCTCACAGTGGGTAACACCTAGTATTTTTCTCACATGCCAATAATATTTTTATTCATTTTCTAAAAGATTCCACAACCAGGCAAATGTTGGCATATATTAATAAAAGCAAGTTGTGTCAGTAAAAGTAATGTCACTTTATGTAGGCTGAGAACTTTTGCTTGCTGATACTGCTCCATGTGTTGGAAACTAATATTGTTAGCTCTAGAAATCTAGAAATACAGTTTCTGCTGCAATTCTTATTGCTCATCCCATTATGCTATGTGTGCTCTTCCCTGGCCTCCAGCATTTGCCCATCAGTTGCATCTTATGTGTGCTTCCTGAGAGTGGAGGCGTTATTCATCAATTATACTAAAGGAAGTGTTGAGTGTCTTCTCTCCTGAAGTTTATGTTGATGATTAGTAACATATGAAAGCCAGTTAAATTACATTCAGACCATGCACATAACACCTTCTCATCCAACTCATCTACTTTTTCCCTACACTGGTATTTTACTGTTCATTCATGCATAATGTCACCCTTGGAATAATATCTGGTTTACCTCTGACAGTGTTGTAAACTTGGAGTGTTTGCAGGGGATTATAACTGGGTTTCCAGTCTTTCATTCTTATCAAAGCTCCAAAATATTTTTTTATTGGATGAAAAAGTAAAACCAAAGGCATCTTAAAAATTCCAGTTGGATTTTACTGATAAGTCCACTGCAGACATAGCTGATTTTATACTTGGGATTGAAGAAAATGCAAGTGGTAACAGAACCCTATAGAGGAACTTGTATCAATTTTTGAGTTACTTTTAAATGTGAATTTTAAGAATAGATTTTGTAATAGTATTGAATGGATTTGCTAATAACTTCAACTCTAACTAATGAAAATGGATGAAGGGTAAGTGGATTTATGCCATTTTTTGGCACAAGAGATTTTGTTGGAGGGAGTTAATTGGTAATTAGACCAAATCTTGGGAAATTTTAGGTTCTGTTTATAGCTTTGCAATTGCTTCAGGTTTGTCTCCGCTCTGACTGTAACCTTTGTATGTCCTGTAAACAAGCAGGACAAATGCTGAGGGGTGAATTCACTTCACATGCTAAAATAGCATTTTAAATGTTTCTGTTAATAGTGTAGTGAATATTGCCCTTCTAAGCATAGCCAAGTTCTTTGTGTTTTAAGAAAAAAGAACATTTAGACCAGATCCTAAGAATAAGAAGCTAATTCAGAGAAAAAGTTGTTGAATTATACATGAATACATGTTGAAGCTGTAGAGTAATGACTGTACTCTGATCTTAGATGAGTAATGCTTTTTAAGTGGCTTGAAGAATGATGAAACTATGATCAGAACAATGTGCTAAAGACAAATGTGAGAGAAATATCAGGTTTAGTGAGATTATACTGACATAAGGCAAGAAAATGTGGCTAACTTCTGCTGGCAGTGCATTTTGTAATTCTGTGATGGGTAGCATGGTATTCAGCAATTTTTTCTAAATCTGGTTATTACTGGTATTTCTTAATGGCAGTATGCAGTATACACTGTGCCTATTTTTAAAAAAGAACCATAATTTTTGTCGGGCAGAGCCTACAAATGCAGTAAATTGATGACATTTTGTAGTAGCTTAGCACATTAAATTGATATTTCTGAAAGCTTCAATCTCCCTTTTATGATTTGACATAATATTCAGTATTGGGAAAATCCCCAAGATGTAACAAACAGATGTGTAAAATGGTTGTCTTTCCAATGCAGATAGTGGATCAAATTCTGGTTTGATTTGTAGCACTAGTAAGGGGTGATTAAGGATATTAGTGAACCCAGTATACACTATCACTTGGTGGTTCAACAGAAAAATAATGCAAACCAGTGAAAGTATTTGCAGCAGAAACCTGTGGAAATTATGCACCCTACATAGTACTACAAATACCAAAATAGAGCATCTTTAGCTATCAAAATACCTTGATGATTCCTTAAAAATGGAGATTCCTGAAAGTATTACAAGTACACAGTGGTGTGGGTTTTGTTGTTTGGTGCGTTTTTTTCTACCAATATAGATTTGTGAAGAAGTTAATAAATATACAGGATAAAGTGGGTTTTTTTGGCTATGAATGGGGTAAATTAGGAAGATAAAATGGAACTTTTAAAAAACCCAGAAAACCCTGCGAAGCCAGGAGTTAATACAAAGTGAAATCTGGTATGAAAATTCAGGAATCATTCTGTGAAAAGTTGTTGTTGGTTGTTTGATTTTGGTTTTTTTTGAATAGCACTCTGGCACTCAGAGCGTGTAAGTACATTCTAGGAAAACCCTGCTCTGAACTGCCATGGAAAATATAAAGGAAGATTTTTTTTTCTGTCAGTGAAATCAGGACTCTGGATGCATTTTAAAATGTTGAAATAAACAATACCTTCCCAGAAAATTTTCTTTTATGTTGTACATTTAATGTATATAGTACACTGGTATTTCCTGCTGACTTTATGAGAGTCAGGAAGCAGACGAGCTGCTCTTACACTCAGCTCTTTTCCTGCCAGGATGGCTATTCCGTGTTTTGATTTGGTTTGTTTCTTCCGTGTTTCTTCTCTCTCTTTCACGCCTGTCTGACTGTTTTGATTTGTGCATCCTGTCCCATTTTTATATGTAACAAGCAGCTACATTAACACTGACTGGCTAAGAAAGCAGCAGTTTTTGTTGAATAAGAGGCATCATTTCTCACTCTAACACTTCCTTTCTGATGGGGGTAGGGAAGCTCATGTAGAGCAGATTTATCTTGCCTTCCCTGTAAGGGGAAAGGGTAGGAGGAACAATGAATGAGTTTCCACCAAGAAAAGTCCTGTTATTTCTAGATCTGACAAACCTTTCAGGTTGTGCTTTGGTGACACATGAATTTGATTGTGAAGAAATAATTTTGACCTCCTCAGGATAAAGATTTATGAATGTACAGTTCCTGCTATTGATTTCTAGATTTCATCAAAGTGAATGTAGAGCTTAGTGCTGAAGCACTTTCTTTTAGTGACCTGATCTGGTGTTAGCGATAGTCCTTCTTTTGACAGAAGCTCTCTAGAGGTCCTTTTGGAAAAAAATTCTACATGCCCCCTTTCCTTCTAAACAAATCCCTTTGTGATTTTGCTTAACTCCTATCAGTGGATGCACAGCCCCTATGAGAACAGGAATATACTGAGAAATGGCTTAAAAAATATTGACAGCACGGCTTGCTTTAAGCCAAGTTCTTTAAAGGACAGAAACTATTTGTTCTGGTGTTGGGTCTCTCTGAGA